GATAGAATTAAGTAGATCAAAAAACCGTGATAAAGTTGAATAGATCAAATCATGATAAATAGATCGAAAAAATTGTGAATAGAGTTAAGTAGATCAAAAAACCGTGATAAAGCTAAATAGATCAAAAAATCATGATGATGCAAAAAGATCAAAAAATCATGATAAATAGATAAATCATGATAAATAGATCAGAAAATCACGATAACAAAACGGATGGAAAAAAAATGAATAAATAAATAAATAATGATAAAAAAAAATTTTAACACCATGTATGAAAAATGATTTTCAAAACAACATACCTCAAATTCTTTGCGTAGAATTGGCCCAGCGCTTGCAATGTATAATTTATGAGCATCATCCATTACTAGCTGAACCGGTTTTCGTTTAACCTATTAAAAAAAAAAAATGTTAAATTCAAATTTTTTGAAACATTTTTTTTAATATTTCTCTTCCTTTCTTTTTTTTTTGCTTACTATTTTTAATACTAGAAATAACATACTATAAAATAATTTCTTAAAAACAATTTTTAAAGTTAAATTAAATTATTTTGATTTCATTTTTTTTTTTTTAAAAAAGTATATGTACGAAAATTAATCAAATAATCTTCCAAAAACAAATTATGTCACACAAGTGTTGAAATTTTTCATTTGGTTTTTTTTTTTTAATGATGGAAAGAAAACTTTTCGAATTAATTTCAATCATTTAATTGTACCCAAAATTTCAATCAGCCATGTCTTCATTACAATTCCAATAACATAAAATTGGAAATCAAAAAAAAAAATATTTCAGTAAAACAACAAAAATATTCAAAATAATATCAATAAAATAATTTGGAAATCAATAAAGCACTATATATAGCATAGACTAAAAAATTCGCAAATTTTTTGAACCGGAAAAAAACCACTTACTTGTCTGACTAATATAAATAGCATAAACCGGAATAATAGGAAAAATAGTTTGAACCGGAAGGAAAAAAAAATCCACTTACTTGTCTGGTTGCAAAACGTATACATCGAAAATACAATATGACATTATCTTCTTGAATTTCTAATGCAAATTTTGCCCAATTTTTTGTAAATTCCGGTACCAAAAATGATGCTAACGCTTTGGTTTCCGTTTCTTTACTTGAATCCGTATAAAGTAATGTAATATTTGTTTGATTGTCACCTTCAAAAAATATAAATGACTTTATTTTAAAAAATAATTTAATTAAAAACAAAAAAAAAACGAAAGAAAATGAAATATTGTTAATTAATTTCCAAATAAAAAATATCAGTAATGATGAAATGTAATATCTATTATTGTATTATATATTCTGATAATAAATTTGTTTACTTTATTATTACTATTATTATTATTTTTTTTAAAATGATTTTTGCTAAAAAGTTTAAAATATAAAATTAAAAATTTAACCAATTATTGAAAGAATTATAGTTCCGCCTTTTCTTTTTTTTCCACTGTCACATAAACGACATAATTTGAATATAAATTTTTAAACAAAAAAAAAGAAGAAAAATTTTTGAATATATTAAAAAAGTTGTAAAATTTGAACCGGCAGATTCGAGTAAAACACCAAGATCAACAACTGTATCAAGTGGATTAACAACAGCAAACAAATATCCTCCTTGACGATCATCCGGTCGAATTACTGCTGTAAATGCAAAATTTCGAAAAAATTTTCGCGGAAGATACTGTCGATATGGTACAACAATTTCGACACCACGCTGTAAATGAGAAATTTTTATTGAAAAATTAATTTGTAAAAAATTTTATTACCGTAAGAATATACTGGAAATAAAATTTTCAAATCTTTTATTCTCAATTTTAATTGGCCAAATTCATTTAATTAATTGAAATTAAGATAATAACAATTCTTTTATGTTTCTTTCATATTTCCCTACGTTTTATTCATTTTTTTTTCATTTATTATCTCAAAATGTTTAAATTATATGTTTAGAAAAATTGAAAACGCAAAATTTCATAATTCTAAAATATTGAATTCTTAATTAGGATTAATTAAAAATTAGGCATTTTAATTTCAAATAACCAAATTTTTGATTTGGAATTTTTTCAAAAAAATTATTAATAACGAAATATCTAAAATATAAAATTTTACAAAGTATTAAATTCAAATAATATTTTGGAACTTTTTTAAATTACCTTAATTCCAACAGCAGGAAAACCTTCGAGACCTTTAGCTTTGTAAAGCTCGATACGATCATTTAATAAACTTTTTACTGGCACCAAAAGATCAATATCTGATTCAGAATCTAAAATTATGCAATAAATAAAAAACTTTATTATTTCGTAATTTATGATTTCTTTTTTTTTTTTTTGAAAAATCATTTGTCTTGAAAATCAAAAAAAGCTATCAATCTTAATTTTTC